TGCACGTGTGCGGGATCTAGGCTGAACTCGAAACCATGCCCCCCCCCCCCCTTTATAGCAGTTATATCAGATAGATTTATATACCGCTTCATAAGGCTTTCAGCCCTCTCTAAGGAGTTTACAGAGTCAGCATATTGCCCCCAACAATCTGGGTCCTCATTTTACCCACCTCGGAAGGATGGAAGGCTGAGTCAACCTGGAGCCCGTGAGATTTGAACTGCCGAACTGCCGTCAGCTGAAGTAGCCTGCAGTGCTGCACTCTAACCACTGCGCCACCTCGGCTCCCTCCCTCCCCACCCCCAGTCCATGGAAAAATGGTCTCCCATGAAACTGATCCCTGGTGCAAGAAAGGTTGCGTACTACTGATCCTATCATTGAAGTGCAGCACTGTTTATAATTTTATTTTAAAGAAATCAGATACTGGACCAATATATACCCTCAGCTTACAGCCAGCCACAATGTGATCCACAGTTTGACCCTGCAGTCACACTGAGGAAAGGATACTATGCCCCATTTATACAGAGTCCCAGCAGACACCATGTGAGATGCAAATCCTATTCAGGATTATCCATTGCTAGCATGGAAGTTCAAAGCCTGGGACCTGTTTTGTGGGGTTATTTGTATGTCTTCTTTGGGCATTCAGTGACCGATTTGCCTTTCCGTTGGGAATTGATGTTACAGGTTGTTGGGGAGATGTGCAAGTGCAAGTGGGGCTTTCCTGGATTTGAGTCTTCCAGCTGATAAATGAGGAAAGTCAGCATGCACTGATTTTTATGTATTTGTCTCTCTAGTACATTTTGCCTTTGTAAAGATGGCGGTGCTCTATGGCTCAGGACAGGAAGACAGCAAGTTGGAGTGATTTTAATACATCCGCTTATAATCCTCATGGTGTCATTGACTCTGACATCTAATTTACTAGTCTGGCAGCTGTTAAGCCATACAGGGGAACAGCACTCTGCTGTGGAGTTGACCAACCTTAGCGCTGATGACCTGAGGCTGACAGCTAAAGTTCTGCATTTGATTCCACATAGTTTCTGGAATATGTTGTTCCTGGGTTTGATTTTTGCTGCTGAATTCTCTAGGTGTAGGAGAGAGTCTGGCCCAATGTTACTCCAAGATACTTTGGATGGGAATCATAGGGAAGTAAGTTATTGCCAAGGTGGCGCAGTGGTTAAATGCAGCACTGCAGGCTACTGCTAGATCAGCAGTTCAGCGGTTCAAATCTCACCGGCTCAGGGTTGACTNCGTGTCAGTTGTAAAATGAATGTTAGGTAAATGCCATGATTGTTAATTGGACTATTGTTCATTATGGAACAGATTTGCCAAAAAAACAGGTGAGTGGTGGTTTTGTAAAAAGTAGACATGAGACCATGGCCATAAACCTTGTCCTATTCCTGAGTGCCTTAAGTGCAGTCATGCGATTTCAGATGGCCCAACCATCAGAACTTTGGATCAAAGTTGTAAGTCCCTTGTTTTAGATCTGTTCCAAACTTCGGATCCAGTCATAAATCAAGTGATGCGTTCTGGTCTTTGATTGATACTGACCCAGACTCAGTGAAGCTTTCAGAAGTTAAACATAGGTTTATCCATGTGGCTTATAATCACAATATATTGATTTTTTTTACTTACAGCAGGTCCTGGAGGTCCTGGCGCTCCCACACTGGTTTGTACACATGTACAAGCATTTGGTAATGATGGACATTTTGCTTCATCCCTCTGAAATTTAAAGCAAAACATGAGAATTTTAAAATGATCTTTTGCCGAGAGATAAAAGGTATAGTAGGTAATTTAGTATATACTATAACTATATGATATCAAAATCTAGTAAAATTCAGTATCAACGTAATTGTTTCTAAGAGGTATTTTGATATGGGACATGGAGAGATGGGGGGGCACAATAATCTTAATGTTTATCAATTAATACTTTTAATTTAAATTCAATTTTCATTAAATATAAAAATAAATAAATATTATTTTAATTCAGCTTTTATTTAACATTCAACATCAACTCAATTAAATATTGGCTTATTCAACATTATATGGTGATGATATATGATTATGAGTTGAAGTGGTAGCTTTCCTATGATTTGGTGCTAATATAAATTAAAAAGAACATAATTCACACCGTATCCTGAGTGCTATCACTGCTTCCATTCTATTTTTTAGATTTAGAACAGAGGGATATAAAGTATCATTAAGAAACATTAGAAAACGGTTTTTTTCAGTAAGACTATGCACTTATTTCTCTCTTCTCTGTGAAGAATTTCCTTAAGTTATCTTCTACTTGCTTGTTTTTCCCAACTCATCTCCCTTCATTGATGATTTATTCTCCTTCAAAATGAACATGGCCCATGTGGTTGCATATTGACACAAATGCGGCTGGCTGATTTTTGCCAAATATGCTATATTAACAGTAGCTACAATCAGTTGTTTACTGTTCCTTACCCTAGCTTCCACATCAAAGTCCACAAGCGATTTTTTAAAAAAACAAACAAACAGTAAGTTAAATTTGGGATGAAGGGTAATATGAAGTATATTTAATATTTTTTTAAAGAATTCAGTCCTAGATTCTGAAAACAGAATGGAATGTGATAAGGCAGCTAAATTGCTTTTTCTACAATAGGCTGTCTGGACTGCAATATTTAGAATATGCTCTGGTAAAGTTACATTCCTGCATTCAGTATGATTCAGAATCCCATAGATAATTTATTATTCCCAAAAGAGATTTTTAAGGCTGTTATCCCACACTATTCTCTTGAAGGCTCACGTCAAGAGCTCAGGCTAAATCTGTCTAAACATTTCCTATATATTTACCTTAGAAGGAATGTCGCAGCATCTATCTCTGCTGGTCCAAACTGAATTGCACACAATGTCAAAGCTCTGTATATCAAACTACAAAGCAGAAATGGAAGTGTATTTAAAATGATATCTGAATTAATCTTCAGTTACAAAATCATGCAATCTAAACAAAATAAAACATTGCCTTCCTTTCCAGTGCTAGCAAAGTATCGTTCCTGTTACCCCATCAATGACATTAACACAGGAAACTAAGAAAATGGTCATAAAGTAGTTTACTTCATGTCTCTGTGATATTTCACATGGTTCCTATAAAACTGGATTAATTGTAATCAAATGCATGGATAGCTTTCGAGAAAGAGGAGATGCTGCCTAGATATGAGAGGCCAGAGTCCTGCGATCATTTAACAGTTAAAAATATTTTTTTTTAGAAAGGGCCTGCCCTAATGCTTCTAACAGTTAAAACTTGTAGGCAGGAAGCTGTACTTTTGGATTTGTAAGATTCTGCAAATTTAGTCTTACAATAAAGTAGATTTAGCTCTCCTAGTTGTGTTTCCAGTCTGGTTTATCTGGGAAGACCGACATTAACTCATAACCGACCTTCAACTTTAAGAGCTCTGCTACTTATATAAAATAACAAGAATTCCTTCCCCTGTTCCCTTTTAGCTTTTTCTTGCCCATATGCACACAATCTGTCTGACTCAGGGGTGAAATGCTCTGAAGTCTGCTACCGGTTCGCTTTGCACGCGCACTGCAGGCGCTAAGAAGCCTTTTCTGAGTCTGCAAAGGTAAGTAGAATAGCAAGGTGGGGGAAGCTGTGTCACATGATTTAGATTTGCTAGAAAGCAGGATTTTCAACATAAATTGCACGGCACAGCTGATTGTGGCACAGCTGATTGTGGCACAGCTGATTGTTGGAACTTTTTAAAACCCTTTTTAAAGCATTTTTTTTTACTACTGGTTCGGACGAACTGGTATTTTAAAAATGTTTTAAAGTGTTTAAAAAAATGTTCCGATGATGTATAGCTGATTGTCACACAGTTGATTGTCGGAACTTTTTTTTAGCACCTTTTATTATCAGTTCAGGCGAACCATCCCGAACTGGTAGCATTTCACCCCTGATCTGACTCCAAAATCATTTCTCCCGAGAGGCTGCCAATGGGATGATTGAAAAGAAAACTTGAATTCTGAAGCTATTATCAAAAGGAGAATTTCAAAGGCTTTTCCTTTCACCTTGGTATCAAAAATCAATTATTCAGCACAGCAAATAAACCTCAGCAAATAAATAAAATTTCATTTCACGACTTAGGCTTTGAGCTAGATTGTGTGACACATGAAAATGAGAGGCGGGGAGTATGACAAATAAGGAGTGGAGGCACCGACAAGCACAGAAGGAACACCCTCTAAACATGCATTTCATCCCACTTTGAGGCAGTAGGGAGAAACCATTTCCAAAACAGCTAAGAACTACAAAGTATGTTTTACTGTTTGTTATATATTATCACTGGTTTTCTGATGGTCTTGTGGGAGGGATAGCTGTGTACAGAACAAGAGAGACATAGCAAAATCATTATTGTGGAGGTGCTATATGTAAGCCTCACCAACCTTATCTATGCCTTCCATATAAATTAAGAACTACAATGTTCAGAATTCCCAAGAATCATGGCCAGTGACTGATATGTTTATCATTAGCAATGGAAGTTACTTAAAATAATAAACATATTGCTCCCAGCCAAAGACTTCGTGACTCTTATGACTGAGTCATGCAAACTGACTCAGAGGTTGATGCTACTAAAAAAGAAGTTCTGTTTCTATTCTAGGCCAAATATTGTGGGAATACTTTGAAGAATATGAGGGAACTTTGATGGAAGCCAACAGTCTGCATATAATCTATACACTCTATTTGAACTCAGACAACTGAGAAGTTTTCTATCAAATGTTTAGAGCTGCAGCTTTTGAACAATGTGGAACTCTGAAACTAAAAAAAGTTATTCATGCATTTATTTAAAATGTTTGTATCCTGCTTTAATTGGCTTTAAGCATGAGCCAGAGAGATTAAAACAAATATATCAGAATTATAATATTTATATAACAGTAATAACAACAACAATAATAATCAGTATCATAATAGATGAACCTCCAACTCAGGTATATCACTCTTCACTCCTCTTAGCTAAAAACATGGTTTAAAAAAGAATATTGGGGATAGAGGAGGGAGTAAAGGATAAGAGCCATGGTGGCGCAGTGGTTAGAATGCAGTACTGCAGGACTAACTCACTGCTCACTCCAGGAGTTCAATTCTGAGTAGTCAAGGTTGATTCAGCTTTCTATCATTGGTAAAATGAGGACCCAGATTGTTGGGGGCAATATGCTGACCAGGGGTGGGTTCCTGCCGGCATTACTGCCGGTTCGGGGCGTATGCGATTTGCATGTGCACTTCGCGCGTGGGCAGGTGCATGTACATAGGTCTGTGCATGCACAGAATATTAAAAATGTTAAAAATACATGCCGCAGCAACCAGGGAAGCGGTTCGGGGGTGTGGCGAGCCTGCCATGCCTACCGGTTCGGCGACCTAGCCGCAATTTCCACTACCAGTTCGCCCGAACCGGTAGCAACCCACCTCTGACGCTGACTCTGTAAACTGCTTAGTGCTGCTCTGTAAAGCACTGTGAAGCGATATGTAAGTCTAAATGCTACTGCTATCTTGAATATCGGGAGCCAGGGTACAGATCTTATTTTGGCTGGCAAGAAATTTGGTAATACGAGAGCTTTGACAGAGAATTCTTACTTCTATATTTGTTCCCACCTCACCCAACATGGGTTAGGGATCATGACTGATGATTTGAAAAGCCACTGAAAAATCCTACAAAAGGAGACTCGCTCCCTTATCTAAGTGACCGGTCTGGTTTCTATCCCATATAATCAACCTGAACTCTTGTCTGAAAAAAATAGAGTTAATCCATATTTTCTAGGGTCTCCCAGGTGGCAGCTGGCCAGTTTTAACAACTTTCTCTAAAAACAGAGGTTTGGAGACTGGTGACATCCAGAATAGTTGGGTTAGTTAGCCAGCCCTTCAAGCAGGGGATGTATCAGTGTCTATTTCAAAGATATCAACATTAGCCAAGTTGCAATGGCTGCTGAACAGAGTCTTTATGTGAAAGGATGGGAGGGAAGAGGATAAATCTTTTTAATGAGAGATCATATCAGGTTTCGAAGTGCTGTAAGTATGGACCTTGACAAGTTGTGTGTGAGGAGGAGATTCTGAACGAGAGAGTGAAAAGAATCTTCATCTCATCTTACTGCCTATGATTTGGATGAAACAATTCTGGTGATAAAGACATGTTGTGGTATCTTTAATAAAGATTTTAAAAAATAATTTAGAAAAGTTTACAACTTACTGGTGCTGTTTTCTTATCACCTTTCTGTAATTTACCAAGGATTTCATAGCCGTCAGTTGTGATATTTCCAGCTTCCTTAATCGGCTTTTCCATAATTTCAACACAGTCAACATAAATCTTAGCACTTGTGGATGTTATAACAAGATGAACCTAGAGAAAGTTTATTGAGGAGAAGCGTAACAAAAACCCTGTTAATTCTTCATGGTTTTAAAAGTAAACCTTTTAGTCCAAATCAGTGAACTGTATACAGAAATTATCCAAAATCTGGAAGGCAAAGAGGCACAAATACAAACATTTTCTGTATCTATGTATAAAAGTGTCCTTTTTAATGAAAATGGCATCTCCATTCATGCATTCTCTTGAAATATATTCCAGACAATAAAGAAGCAATGACTTGACAATCTTTGTCTGGACTCCGCTTTGGAATAAATTTGGATGAAGGGTGTGATAATCTATACAACATATGCTATGAAGGAATGCCACTAAGGACTATATAAATACAACACTAACTAATGTTAAAGACATAAAGACTATAGGAAATTTTTTGTTGTCACAGCTGTTGCTTGTTCCAAAAGTTTTTTTTTCCATAACCAGTAAACTTTGCAAGAATAATCCTTCCAAAACTCTGTCCTATTCATAGAAACTGAGCAGTAAAAATGAAATGGAGTGGAAATGACATTTTCCATTTTTTTAAAATAACATTAGACTAAAAATGTAAAATGATATTTTTACACATTTTTGAAAAAAACAATCCTATTATTAAATACCACCATTCTGTCAGACATCCCTTTCCAAATATACAGTTAGAAAATTGACAGATTAGAATTATATAGAATATATATTAGTGTGAATGAAAATATCAAAATTATTCCCACTATATTTTTGCAAGCTTCATAACCAAAACAGTCTTCATATTGTAAATCTGATACATTTTGGAACTAAGGAATATCTGGTAGAGGCCTTGTTAGGGTAAAAAATAAATTTTCCTTGGAATCTATATAGAACAAATGCTATGAGAACCCCCAAATGCTGAGTAATACTTTTGATTTATAACTCCATAAGAAATGGAAAACCACTTCAAATTCATGTTCAGTTTCCAAACAGAAGTTTAAGAAATATCTCTTTCCAATCAATTAAAAACTAATCAAGTGTCATTTTACCATTTTCATATCCAAATCTAATTCATACATCTTTTTTAGTTTATTTATAATCATACAGCTTTAAACTCAAGGTACACCTTACTTGTTATAATAATAGAACTGTATCCACAGGAAAGAACATGACTAAAATTTAAAAAAATATTTGTGGATCGAACAAAATTTCAGTGATTTTAAATAAAAAAAATTCAATATATATTTACTCAGAAATAACTTTAATTATGATTAACAGGGTTCACTCAGTAAGTATGACCAAAATCACAACCTATTATGTCATGCATTAAAATACTGTAAGAATTTTAATCTGTTCATTAACTATTGTGATTGTGTCTTGTGTGTCTACATATCTTGTGTATTTGTATCTGTTGTTGCTGCTGTATAGATTACAATATCTCTTAAAAATCTGTTTTTATGGCATAATAAAATATTAATAGCATCTTCTGCAGAGGTGGGTTCCTACCAGTTCGCACCAGTTCGGTAGAACCGGTTCGTCAAATCTACCGAACCGGTTAGAAGAGGTTCCACCAGAAAGCAGGCCACACCTACAGAAGAGGTNGAGAGAGGGAGGAAGGAGGGGGAGGGAGAAGAAAAAGAATGGGGAAACTTATTTTGCAAGGGGGAAAAATGCTGTCGCTTTAAATCGGAACTGAGCATGCCTGGCTGTGGAATTCTGGGAGTTGAAGTCCACAAGTCTAAAAAGTGCCTCACCAGGGCTAAAGCTGACCGCACGTCACTGATACAGAGTCTGATATTTTAATAAGACTGCAGAATTATGCTCCCATTAAACCCCGCCGCCTAAATGTGGCTCACCAGACTGCTGTATGACAGCTGCAGCTTTCATCACTTCATCTTGCGACCGACCATCTGTTACGACAACAAGGACTTTGGGAACGCCTTTCCTCATGCCTCTTTCCCATGTAAGAACCTTTTCTTTGATAAATGCAAGTGCCTTTCCTGTGAATTGAGAGAGAGTTTCATTTAGATCATCCACCTAAAACCACTACTTTGGAAGGACAGGGGGGAAACTAACACTGGAATACATTCTAAGTTAAAACCCATGCAGTAATAATATGAGAAAACCTTATCCCTTGAAACTAATATTCAGAAAGTTGTACAAAATTACCTGTTTTTGTGTTCCCTCCTCTGTACTGAATATACTGAAGAGCTCCCAGGGCCTGGGCTTTATCATCATAGGTGTTCAAATTAAACTCTGATTTTGGATCATCACTGTATTGCACAAAGGAAACCTGAAATGTGGGGACCCACCCCCCCCAAAAAAAAATGTTATATTGTTGGAGAAAATATGGTTCAACAGCTCATATTCTATAATCCTGTATATTTTAGACATATGTAAATCTTACATGTATACAAACACATCATTTTTTGTTAGCAATAATTATGGGTTTTTAAAAAATGTGCCTGACTTCTTTTTCTAACTAGTCTGTTATTTAGAGAATTGTTGTAATAAGACTATTTAAAAGGCAAAGAAGAAAAAGTAAGGGAAAATATGAAAAGGCTCTTAACTTTTTCACATTCGTCACAGGTGATTGGATCTTTAAAACTCAAACTGCCATATTATAACTGTAAAGTATTTACTTGAAAGATATCATGGAAAAAAATGCAATTTATCCTGCTTGATATTTAAGAACTAACCTGAATTCCAGCTGGATTTACTAGGTCGAATGCTCCGATTGTATTGAAAACAAATTTCACTACTTTGTTGAAATTTTCATCTCCAATACTCCAAGAAGCATCAGTCAGGAAGACTATATCAGCTTTGGCTCCCTTGCATACTAAAAGATACATTGGATTCAGAAATGATTTAGAAGTTGCAACACAATAAAAAAAATAGGATGTAGTAACTAGAATTTTTCAATGTGACAGCCATTTGGCTAAAACGGTATAGGGTCTCCTGCTTGATCAGAGGGTTGGATCAGATGTCCTCTAAGATCCCTTCTAACTATTATTCTGTCTTGCTCTGCAAAAGCTGTCTGAAAAACTTTCTCTGCTTGGATTTATATAAAAGCCATGTACCCCAAATTTGTTTACAAAACAAAATATAAAATACTAGCTTGAATGCATAAATACACAGAAAATAGGGGAATGAATAAATGCCTTTTTGAGCAGAACTTACTTCATTGTTTAAAGGCTATCATTACTGTTAATTCTAGTTCTTTGAATCAAGATAAATTTCAGAACTCTTAATTCCCCCCCCCCTGCCAGTTTTTAGACCTTATAGACATAAAAAAGCAAACACTTACCTTCCCGTGCAGGTGGGATTGTTGGAGGTGGAGCTGGCGTTGGAGGTTTGGTTGGAGGTTCAGTTGGCTTGATTACTAAAGGAAATCAATTAAAATATTTTGCATTTTTTTTAAAGCTGGGAAATAAACAAAACTATAGAAGCTGCATCCTTGGCAGATCAGTTCTTAGAAATTTATCAACATGTTCCAGCAAAAGTTTGGATTCTTCTGTCTTCTAAATTATAGCTCAAACATGTTTCAGGGACTTTGAAGTCCTATCACCATGGCCACCTCATTACTAGAACTAGTAATCATCTAGTTCATCGTCTTCTAGAACACTAGTGGAGGATGAAGCATGTACATTGCTGAATGGTCTCTTCTGCTCCATCCTCTGGCCCTTCTCCATATCTGTTACCCTCAAGGACAGGATAGGGGATGGGCGAAAGATAAAACAGGAGGGATCATCTTTGATGTTCCTCATAACCCATCCTCCTTGCTCATGATTTGTGAGTGGACTGTACGTTCACAATGCTGTGTTTGAAATATTGACTTAAAAATAATATCTATAAAACTTAACCATTTTGCCCTGCCAAAATGGTAAGGAATCGGAAGAGGTTGAAAAATATCAAACTCCTAACACAATAGACATAGGTAGCAAGGATTGTTGTCTCTTCTCAGGCATTACTGACCAGAAATTCACACTGAATAATTATAAAGCAAATGTCATCTGCAGTACTACAAGTATTGTAAGCTTTTTTGTAAACCACAGTTTACTAAATATTCCATAATGGCTTCATTTAAGTGCAATACTGTGTTAGGCGTGATGGTTGATCCACTTATCATACAAAGCCCCAAAACTTCCAGGTATGACTTAGCCGCATGAACAAAGCTATTTTTGTCTGGCAAGCAGAATGTGAAGTTTGGAATCCAGCTGTTGTCTGAAATCCTGGCAGTAGGGCAAGTCACAAAAAAATGCATATATTATTTTCAATTAATGAATGAAGGGAAGCTGGGTCGTTTACCACTTTACTGGTATATTCAGAGAAAACAGCTTTCGTTATATCCTTTCCGGAGTTTCTAAAGTTGTTTTGGTTTTGTTATTGTGGTTCCTGTCATCTTGGACTTACATGTGCGTTCTTTTGTAGAGACTGGAGGACCTTCAAGATTTGGAGTCTGAACCAGGACAGTAGCATTGTATTCAGTATCAGGTGAAAGCCCCTTAAAACAGTGACTGGTTTCTGATCCACGCACTGTTATTTCTTGACCTCTAGATCCTGTAAGCAAGCGAGAAGAATAATGCTTAATTTGTAGGACCTTACATACACATAACTGCTTGTAAGCAGTACTCAATGTACTATCAATAGCACTTAAGACTTGCTTCCCAGTGCTTTACAGCCCTCTTATAAGAAGTTTACAGAGTCAGCATATTTCCCCCAACAATCTGGGTCCTCATTTTATCCACCTCAGATGAACAGAAGGCTGAGTCAACCTTGAGCCAGTGGGAATCGAACTGCTGAAAGTCAAAGTCAGCAGAATCAGCCTGCAATGCTGCATTCTAACCACTGTGCCACCATGGCTCTTCATGACATAATACATGTCATGAGGAAGTGAAACTGCGCTATCAGCTCTACACGGGGGGAGGGTTGTTCTTTCATTTTTGTTTTTAATCTTCTAAACCATGGCGATTCTGCCTGTAGGCTGGTGAATTGCCAGAATGTGAGAAAGACAAGGTATGAAATAGCTAACCTTCACAACAGCACAGAAAAAAAGAATGGATTAGTAAGCAATATTCTTAATTTTGACGCAGGAGAGTTAATTTTAATACTTATTTTCATCTGCTTCAGAGTTCCTTAATGCTCATATATACCTCCTTTCTTCAAAGTAAAACAGGAAATAAAAGTACTTTTTGGCCTTGTAACATATTCTGTTTGTGCAACATTTCAAAATGATTTATTTATATTATGCAATAAATAGGAAGCATTGTTTGCAACAAGAAGACATCTGTATTGATAAATTACTGAATTGTAATAGTACAGAAAATTATAAATGAAGGGCCATTTGGGGCAAAG